CTCACCACCCAGGAGACTGGTGCGCGCGGAGCAGGCCCTAACCACCTCCCACGTGATCCCCGGGGAGGAACACGTGACCAGTGTGAGGCTCTCAGGCCCCGCCCAGCCACCCAAGATGCCTTTAGGGGAGCAGGCCCCGCCCCACCTCCCAAGCTTCCCTTGGTAGGAAGCAGGCCCCTCCCCGCCCACGTGACCCGCAGAAGGGGTGGGGAGCTGGTCAGCCCTGCTTCTCACGTGATCCAACGTGAGGTGGAGAAGGCCCTGCCCGCGTGACCTGCGAGAGGCTGCCAGCCCTTCCCCGCCCGCGCCCCACGCGACCCAGGAAGACGCCCGCGCCTTAGGAAGTTTCGAGGCGCTGCAGTCAAGCTTTGAGTCTTCCGTTTTGGGCTCTTTGTGTCGGACGACTTTCATTCCCCAGGTCGCCCTCCTCAGTTGCCTCGTAGGCTTTGGGGTCGCCTGGGTCCTTAAAATGTGGAACAGGAGCTCAGGGCTCCCGCACCGAGGCCTCAGGACGCCGGGATGTGAAGCTGCCTGGGCCCCGGGGTCCGGCGCTCACCTGCGGTTTAGATGGGCGTGCGCGATGCGGGGCGCACCCTGTCTGCTTTGCTTGATGGGGGGTACGGAGAAGTTCCAGAGGAAAGCCAAATGGGCGGACGTCCAGGTGGGTGCAGACTTCTTATCCCAGGGCCAAGGTAGCCGTTCTTTCTTGCTGTAACCACCTGCGCTGCGTGTTACCCTTGACCAAAGACCGCAGGTGGTGCCCTCCTTGGGAGGCAGCCACCAACGCGGTGGGACAGAGGGCACATGATAGGCCCGATGATAGGCCCGATTCCCAGCGTTGCCCGCACCTACAAGGACCTACAAGGATGGGCTGACCCTGACAGCCCGCCATGCCCTGCCTCCAGATGCAGCACACCGCCTGCTGGCATCGAGAGCCATCACTGGTGGCAGGGAGTGGAGCTCAGGTAGCCCAGGCACAGGATGGTGGCCCCACAGTTAGAGCTTCAGCTGGTGGGGAATTGGGATAGTATGCGCATGGAAGGGAGTGCACTAGCGAGCTCAGTAGGTGACGCATTTTGGAAAGCATGACGAATTAGTAATTAGTAATGAGAACGATGGGATTGAATGGCTAGTGCTAGGCTGGGTTAACACCGTAGTAAAGGATAAAGGCAGAGAGCCAACTGGCAATTGAAAGCCACCTTCAGGATCTCCTTGGTAGCAAACAAAGAGGCCTTCATCTTGGTGGGGGTGGGGGGTTCAGGGGAGAAAAGCCAAGGGTCTGGCTGGGACTTAATCTTCGGGAAGTGGAGTTCCAAAGAAGGTTGAACTCCCAGCCACCGCAGGTCTGCTATACCAAAGTCATCCTGGTTGGGAAAGAATGGCACCCTGGCATGTTGAGAGAGTTATCTGCAATAAGGCCCTGTGATCTGAAATTCTCCTTAAGCCTCTGAGCCCGCAGGAGTGGGCCAACCCACCCTATTAAAAACCAAAATCTTGGGGGCGCCTGGGTGGCTCAGTTGGTTAGGCGACTGCCTTCGGCTCAGGTCATGATCCTGGAGTCCCAGGATCAAGTCCC